AGGCCACACACACACACACACACACACACACACACACAATCGCAACAGAATATGCACAGACATACACAGCTCACAGTAGGAACCCTTCCCCCCAAAAAAAAATCCCCAGACTCATTTAGCAGAACAGCCCAGACCTGTTGCCGTGTTTGACTGGAGTGTGTGTGTTTTTGTGTTTTTGTGTTTTTGTTTGTGTGTGTGTGTGTGTGTGTGAGTGTGTGAGTTTGTGTGTGAAGCCCCAGAGACTCATTTAGCAGAACAGCCCAGACCTGTTGCCGTGTGTGTGTGTGAGTGTGTGAGTTTGTGTGTGAAGCCCCAGAGACTCATTTAGCAGAACAGCCCAGACCTGTTGCCGTGTGTGTGTGTGAGTGTGTGAGTTTGTGTGTGAAGCCCCAGAGACTCATTTAGCAGAACAGCCCAGACCTGTTGCCGTGTTTGACGTGTGTGTGTGTGTGTGTGTTTTGACAGGAGCGTATCCTGAACCCTCATGCAGCGTCCTGTACGTGTGCGGCCTGCTGTGATGATCTGTCAACAGTGAGTGACACGGTGACTCAATCTCATTATTATAATCATAATTATACAATACAGTATATATATTACACACACAGAGTAAAGATGAAAAATTATTTTTAAGAAAATGACAACTGAAATAAAATAATAAATACAAATAAAACAAGAATGTAAATTAACAAATAATATACTAAATAAAGTAATAAATAAATAGAAAAAGGATGGTCATGTCTAAATAGTAAGGGCCAGATTTACGAAACGGCAAATTAGCATTAGAGCGCAATTCCAAAACGGCGCCGATGGGCGTGGAAATTTCTGCTGGTGATTTACTGACAACGTGCAAATTAAATACAGACGCAACATCTCATTTACATATTGACCAACGCAATATACCAAGCGTAGCGCAAATTAACGTACTCGCAAAAAAACAGAGCCGATGCTCATCAGGTGCGGGTGATCTACTTATGACACAGGTGTAAAATAGTTTAAGACATGCTTTTTTTGGGCGTTAAATAATGGCGAAAATACCAGCAATTTGACGTTAGTAAATCGATTCATTTTAATACTCTCCTCCCATAAATTTTGCGTCTGAAAGGGAAACTCCTACAAATGCTACAAATG